ACACACCGGCACTGCTCGGGCACCGCACAGGGGACACACCGGCACTGCTCGTGCGCCCCTGCCGTATGCAGGGGCCCGCGGCCGGAGCGGGGCTGGAGCGCGGCTGCCGCCTGCCGGCCACACCGGGAACAGCAGGGCCGGGCCGGCGGGCGCGGGGCCGCTGAGGGGCGGGGCCGAACCGGGGGGCGGGGCCTGGCGTGAGGAGGCGCGAACCGGCGGGGGCGGGGCCTGGCCGCCATGTCGGAGGCGGCGGCGGGAATGGCGGCGGCGGCGCCGATGGCGGAGGCGCGGCTGCGGCGGAAGCAGCTGCTGAGCGCGGAGGAGGCGGAGCTATTCGAGCTGGCGCAGGCGGCGGGCAGCGGGCTGGACCCGGAGGTGTTCCGGTGAGCGGTGGGGGCGGCACCTGCGGGAGCCGGCGGTGCCGCCGGAATCCCCTCTGACGGATGCTCCCGGTGCCGGGTATCCCCCCTCCCGCAGGGTGCTGCTGGACCTGCTGCGCATGAACGTGGCGCCGCTCGCCGTGTTCCAGGTGCTGAAGTCGATGTGCGCCGGGCAGCGGCTCCCGCCGGGCCCCGAGAGCGGCCCCTCCGCGCCGGCGCCGCTCCCCGCCGACACCCGAGGTACGCGCTGTGCGGGGGCGGAGCGGGGCGGGCGGCGGGCGGTGCCTGGCCCTTCCCCGCTGTGTTCCCGCGCACAGCGCCCCGAGCGCGGCCGGGCAGCGCTGCCCGTGGCCCTCACGCTGCGGCCGCCGCGGTCCGGAGCTCGCTCGGCGCTGCCCTGCGCCCGGCCCCTGGCGGGAAGGGGCCCGCGGGCCGCTCGGCCGGGCCCGGTGACTGGCTCGKCCCGGGGGGCCCGCTCGGTGTGATCCCCGGCCCCGCCGCTGCCCGCGCCCCGGGTGCTTCATTCGTTTTTAGGCAGCGCGGGGACTGGGGGAAGTTGCCGCAGCACTTGTTTTTTAGGCTCCTGACTCTGCTTGCCGAGCTCTTAACAGAAAAAGGCTTTATTTCACAATATTATACAGTATTGCTTTGTTTGAATATAACKCAACAAAATTTAAAGTTTCCGGGCCATGAGGATTCCCCGGAAAAGGAGGAGAGCTGTGATGCTTCCTTTATTCTGTCCTCATGTGCCTGGTGGCTTCTAACACTCATGTAGTGGTTTCCGTCCTCGAGATGGAGAGATGATAGAGATGGTATTTGTTGTGGGAAGATGAAATAGAAGGCTGTGGGGAACTGCCAGCTAAAATAGTTACTGCTTTTAAATGCGTTTATCTCTCCTTGCTGCTCTAATCYCTATGGACAAGAACAACCATAGCCCTGAACTTGTGCCATATATATAAAATGATGTTTTATCCCTAATCAGTGCTAATAAAACTGCTGTTTACTCCCTGAAGTGACRTTTTGCTGATAACTCACCAACTCTGAATTACTTCCAAAAGGTTCAAAGAGAAGTAACTAAAGTAAGTCTGCTGACTAACTATTCCGTCACTAAGCCTGAATTCACAGTGAAAAAGTTCATTTCTCTTGTRCTCAAAAAYGTGTCAGAAGGGCARGTGTCTGGAAGTGGATGAGGTCAAGTCAAATTGTGTTGTCATGTCCTGTCATGTCCCCCTGTTTCAGGGTGAGAACAGAGTTGATGCTGCTGGGTCTGTGTTGACCTRTGCTGAATTTTGAGGCAAAAGTTGAAAAAGTAACTGTCAGCAAGGATTGTGCTTGGAGCACAGTGAATGGGGCAAGAAAGAAAGCTTGGTGGGCATAGGAGGGAGGAGAGTGAGGTTTCCCTGCTGTGTTAGCATAGTAACACTTAATCTGGTCTCATTGCTGAGGCTGCCATTGTGGCTGGGCAGTGGTTTATTCTCTTGGCTGTGCTTGCAAGTCCTGCAGAAAGTGAAGTTGAGATGGAGTTTCATTTGAAAAGCAGATAGTTTTGGGATAAAGAATTATGCCACAATCTGGCGCCTTCACAGTGGCAGAGCCCAAGGAGAATCCCCTCCTTGAGCAGCTGAGGAGAACTCAGGAAGTTTGCTGAAGCCCTAATGGAGTGTGGGGGTGAAGTGTCCAGGACTCCTTGTACTCACCATGAACAAATTTCCCTTTCTAAGGAGGTGCTCTTGGTTAAGAATTCCTGCAGAGAAGGTGTTTGTAATGAAAAGAACAGCCTCACATGTGACTGAGAAATGACTGGATATGCGCAGCAGCAAGGGAAGACACCTGTCTGACAACGTTTTCCTGAGTAAAATGGGAGAGGCACAGTACTTGGATTTTTTTTTAAGTGTGAAGCAGCGTGCTATTCTGGTACCACATTAAGAGGAAACATCCCAAAAGAGCAGAGATTTTGAACAAAAGATGCTGTTAAATTTTGCTCTCTCTTCTCCCCTGTTGATGTTCCAGCTGTTACAGGCTGGTTAAATTGTGAAGGAATGTTGCTGAGGTTTTTGTTCCTGTCTGTCAATAATGTGGAACAGCTTTTGTTCTCTCATATATGCTCTTTGAGTGGTACTTTATGGATAAATGAGGCTTTTTTTTCTAGCAGTGAGCCTCTGCTGTAAGATAGTAGACTGGCTCAGGTTTGAAACAGGCTAATGGCCTCTTGTTTGTTAATCAGCATTAAGTTTCTCAAGAGGAAAAGTCAGAATCCCTAAGGTAGAGTTGGTATGCCCTTCTACTATCCACCCTGCTGCAGGCACCTTAGATGCACTGTTGGCAGGAGTTAACAGTTTTCTTGGGAGCCTAATTTGGTGCTCATTCTGCATCTTTAGCAGAGCATCTCCTTGTCTGAGTCAGGTTTCAGTTTTAGTGTGTCCAGCTGGGCATTTKTCTGTGTAGTATCCTTTTAAAATTGACAAGGTGATATCCAGGAGTGCTCCGGGGCAAGCCCTTGGAGCCAAAGGCGAAGTGAAGTTCAGGGAAAGATGGTGGTGCCAGTATTGGTTTGACTTTCGGTGGCCAGTTTGGCCTGTTGCTGCCTAATTTCCCAAGGCTAAAATGTCTGTCCTCAGTGCCAGTTAATGCACTGGAATTGCTGAAACAGGAAGATTGTGCCCATCAAGCCACAGTTCTGCGGTAGATGATGTGATCAAACATTAAGTGCTAAGCTTGGATTTGCCCTCTTTGCAAGCTGTTGATTGGTACTGGTGATGAAGAGGCACTTGGGCCTCCTCTTTTAACACTCACCCCTGACCAAATTCTGATGGATAGCACTTGTACACGTTGTCAGAAGGCTTGGGCTTCTCAGATGTGTCTTCTGTAAGCTTGTGTTAAATAAGAGCACCAATTCACTTGAAATGAAAGCTTCTCTTTTTAGTTTCTGCCAGCCCAGGTGACTTTGCCCACACCTACTGACAYCAGCTAATTYCTTCGTGAATAAAATTACCATTGARAAGYTAATGTTCAGAAAATGCTTTAGGYCGAACTTAAGTTCAGSAGGGGCTTACCACAAATTTAGTYATGTGTTTTCATTTCTGTGAGTTATAAGAAGTGCTGGTAAGATCTTGTTAATATGGAGGACATTTTGTTCAGTCTTTCCTGTAAGGATCACCAAATCAGAGACTGATTTGGGTTGGAAGGACCTTAAAGCTCATCTCATTCCACTTCCTGCCATGGTCAGGGACACCTTCCACTATCCCAGGTTGCTCCAAGCCCCATCAAACACAGCTTTGGACACTTTGAGGGATGAGACAGCCCCAGCTTCTGTCTGCAGTCTGTCCCAGGGCCTCCCAAGCCTCACAGGGAAGAATTTCTTCCCAATACCTGTTCTAAACTTACCATYCTTCAACTTGAAAAAGAATCACTTCTCTTTCACTGAGCTTTCTAGTTCTGGCACAGTCCAAGTCCATCCTTCAGGAGCTGGGTAAGTGTTAATAGAGTGTCTGGGGGTGTCCTCTGGGCTGGATCTGTTCTGCAGGAGTGTTTGGTTTGCCTTGCCTTGCCTCCTTTCCCTTTAGGAGCTGCTGTAGAGAAGGGGAACCTAAGTGCTATCTGCTGTTGGCACTGCCATCTCTTGCTGGAATATGCTGCTTCCATTTAAGAAGAGGATGGTGCAGCTTCYACGCAGGACCAGGCATCTCGCGAGGGGAGATGTCTCTTCTGCATAGCTGGGGCTTTTGTGTGTGGTTCCAGCCCAAGCTCTGTGCTTGTACCTGTCCTGTGCAGGCTTCTCAAGCTGCTTCATGCCTTTCAGCTCAACCCCTGCACTCCCTCCCCTATCAGAAGGCAGACATGTGGCTGAAGGAATCCAGGTCTCACCAAAGATCACCCAAACCTGCTCTGCTCCACTTGTATCAGTAAGGAGATCCTGGCTTAGTTTTCCCAGCACGTCATACTSCAGGGAGGCTTTTTAAAACAGCTAAAACAAGGCTGCTGCAGCAGTTCTGGTTAGCACTGGTGGTGGTGGGGGTTGCCCTGTAGTTATTTCAGCATTTGTGCTGATGAAGCATCAGGAAGTCTGAAATGAATGAGTGACTTTGTCTTTTCCCACAGAATATAGCTGTCACATTTTGTGTTGGCTGGTAACTGAATTCATAACAACTGGCTGCAAATTGTTGTGTATGGGTATTGGAGCATCCATCTGACATATTTAGCTGGATACAACTTATTGTGAGCTACATTCAAAATGGTCCCTCAACATTTTATTTGGGAGGCAAAGTGCTGGTCTGAAAGAGAAGGAAATTCCCAGGTATCCTTTCAAGGTGTGTGAGGGGGAGGGTTATGTTAAGGACAGTGGTGTTGAGTTTGGCCTAGACTAGACAGGTATGTAATTAAGTATCCTATTTCCTCACCTACTACTGCTGTGTTTTCTGTTTCTATCAGCGAACCCTCAAGTCCCTGCTGGTTCCCCTGCAGTTTTCTACCTCATATACACGTGCACATGTCAATGCCCTGGGGTTTTTTTTAGGCTGATGAATWGTCTTTGATRTTTTTGATGTCATTGCCTGCTTCCRCAGAAAAAGTGTCTTTCCTTAAAAGTACTGCCCAAAGTTTTACCCCAGTAAATTTGTCTTCTGAATGTGTTGTTACCATGAGCTTGCTTTTCAAAACCTGTCTSCTTTGTGGATCTGTCACTTGGTGAGTGGATTTTAAGGCTGCAAGGAACTTAGTGACACAGGAAGAAAGGAGCTGTGCATAGCAGGGGTCAGAATGCTCTCCTGCCCAGGGAAATTGTCACACTCCAGTGCCTGTTGGAAAAACCACTGAGCCCATYACTAGCCATGGGCTCTGTCAAAGGTTCACAGGGTGAGTTTTTCTGGTCTGTGTGGAAAAAAATATGCTATGAAGAATCATAAGTCCTTTTCTGCCCTTGCAGAATTACTTGCTTCCTGTAGAAATACTTAGATACAATCAAGGCCTCAGAATTGTGTTGCTRTTCARTTGTTTCCTAAATACTCCTCTGTGYATTASACAGCTTGTTGCCATCTTTGTCCTCCCTGTCTGTTTTTCTTGCCATCTCTGTGGTTTTTCGTCCTTTCCTGTTCATCCCTTTTTCTCATTCCTTGTTTCTTTCCCCTTGTGCTGTCTGTTTTTAGCTGTGACCAGCMTTTTGGAGTGGTGACTGCCAGCACTTTTGGGTACTGCTGGCTGACCATGCCACCTGCTTTGCATTCCTCTTTCACTCAGCCTTGAGTTCTCTCAGGGTTTGACTTTATTTGGGATTTGTAGTGTAGACTTCTGTATTAAAGAGATAAGGATAATGCTGACAAGGAGAATGCTGTGTAACGCTCTGATATGTCAGAGGGAATCCCCTTGGAGTTGCTAAGGATTTATCTTAAATTTATTTAATCTGGGGTTTATACATGATACTGTGAATTTTCCTGTGGGTTATACTGGCTATTATGYTTTAATTATAAATTAATTATCTCCATGGGATCTGAGCAGTGGCAATGCATGCCTTGCACCTGAAAATATTCCCAGACACTTCATGGTCTGCACGTCTTCTCTGAAAAAAAAATCTGTAGAATGACCTATAGGTGACTTATATGGGACTAATCAAAGGACTAATTTTGGTTTTCTTACTTAGTTGCTCATATTCAGTTTTTTTTTCCAGTTTTCCAGTAATCCACCCCAATGAGTGGATTTCCTACAATCACTTAGGAGCAGTTGGGTTGCCTTCTGGATCCTCTCCTGAAACTCTCACTCCCTGCAGCTCTTCCTACCGTAACAATAGAGTTTAAGCCTTTTGAATTAGAGGCCTTTATTCTTGTTTTGTGGAATGATGGACATGGTAAATACACAGGATCAGTTCTATGCACAGGACATTCCTGATGTGAAGTTGCTGTTCCTCTCCCTCTCCCCCAGGCTTACATTCCAAAATGCACTTTAAATTTTTTTTTTTTTTTTCTTTGTAGGCAACTGACTGGCTTCAGTTTATAGACCTCTATCATCTTCTGGTACAGAAATGATCATTATGTCAGTTATTTTAGAACTGATAAAATTCTCAGCTATACTGTGCCTTCTTGGATGGCCAAAATATCCCTTGGTTAAAAGTTCCTGTACCTTTCCTCTCCCAGGAGAGGAAAGTAATGAGATACAAGTTTGAGTAATAACTCTGAGTGACAGACAATTCATTCTTTCCCCCCACCCTACCAAAGAAAGACTCATAAAATCTCTTAAATATAGACTCAGTAGAGATCTCTGAAAAAATGAGGGACCTCTTCTCCATGTTCTCTTTCTGTAATCTTATGTACAAGAGAAAGAGAGAAAATGAGATATCCCAAGTGTGGTGGTGAAAACTAGTACAATGAGGAGCAGCCAGGGACATATGAGAATTTGTAGGGAAAAGGCTGGTGTGTTTCATGCTGATCAGYGATGGCAGAGAAGCTTCTGTGGCTCTGCTGTGCAGTCTTGAAAGGAGCCGTTTATCAAAAGAGCAGGAGAGATGAATGATTTGGGCTCTTGAGTGATGTTTTGGCTCTGGAAAGAGCTCAGGTTATGTATTAACTGTTGAAGATGTGGCAGCAGCTTTGAAGATCWGAGAATGGTGTTGCAGAAGAGGCCAGCTTGTTTATGTCAATATGCATTGCCGGAGGTATCTTGTGAGTGTTGCAGCCCTGGTATCCYTTATGTGCCATAAGTAAATGTACTAACATATTTATGYGTTTATTTATTTATTTACTGGTATGAGAAAAATCCACAGTCTTTGTTACTGCTCAGAGGCAGAAAGGGATCCCTTGAGGAAAGCGGTAGTTGAGTGGAGAGGAGACTGAAAGAGAAGAACTTCAGATTTCTACTTCTGAGAGCATATTTGGAGTTGCAGTTTTTCTTTGCTAAAGCTGATTGATCTTCTCTTGCCTCCTGCTTGACACAAGGCAGTGCTTCTTCCTGCCTCTGGTACTTAAGACTGCTTGTGTGCATATACCATTCTCCCCAAACAGTGCCTGGCTCTTGAGGWGGTAAACAGCTTCTGGTTCTGGGGTCATCTTTGGGAAGGCAGGTATTTGGTTAGGCACTCTCTTGGCTTGTCTCTTGCTTCTGCAGCTGCTTGGGCTGCTGTTACTCTGTGACAGCCAGACACATTCAAGATAAGGACATCTTGTGTCATCAGGGAAAATATGAGTGAAATCCTTTTGTTCTTCTGTAGTACTTGAATTACAGAGCRTTTATGGTCTATGAGCTCCTTTTGTGTTTTATGGTAATTGAGTCTGTTATCTCATATAGTGTAGAGGGAAGCACAAAGCTTGCCTGTCCCTGCACACTTCAGGAGCTGTGCTTGTCTGGTGCATAGGTCTGTTCAGACTGCTTCCAAAAATACATTGCGTATATTTATGCAGTTTAACTCTTATTTCAAGGCTAGGGTGATGGAGTGCATATGCTTTGAGCGCAGCTTCTCTTCAGTCAAATGACTCTTTCTCCCCWAGTTGTTTCAGCTGGTTCAGAACATTGAGGGCCTGACACCAGTGTGTGTGTGCACATGGCTGGAGCTGTATAGGGGTTGAGAACCTGCCCTCTCAGCAGACAGATGCATGTGACAAGGGGGAGGACATTCACCTGGGGTACATGTCCAGGATTGTTAAAAGCATCAYTGTAAATAATGCTTTTACTCCTGCTACTTTTTCTCTCAAATACTGTGAGATGGTGTGTTTTGGTTTTGCGCGATGTGTTTTCATGGACAGCGCTTGCTTTAGTGAAGTTGCTTAAAGTGCCTGAGCTACAACACAACTGGCAAGGCTAGTTGGCTGGCTTGGGATGGTGACTGCTGGCACATCACCTCTGTGCTTGACAAGAAGAGAGGTTTTCAAGAGCACCTGACTGGGCTGGGATAAGTGAATGGATWTTTGTGCCTCCCAAATTTTACATATGATTAGTGGCCACCTACTCTTGGAAGTTCTCAGATTATCTTTCTGGTGCAGCAAGGTGCTAACTAGTAGTATTGATGTGAGTCCTGTTCCCAGACAGCTRCTCCAAGGAGACAGGATGGTCTGGTAAGTAACTGTACAGTCCATAGCACAGATAATCCAAGATAATGATTTCCAAACCATGTCCATGGAGACTCTAGAGAGTGTGGAGCAGCTGTTGGTCTTGTGAAAGTTGCTCTCATAATGATTGCCAAAATTTCACTCGTCATTTGATTGCATGCATGTAATTACAGCCACTGTATTCCTGTTTTGTTTTCTCCTTGCTATTATTCACTTTTATGATGYCTCATGGAGGTTGCCATCTTTAGTAAAAGCTGTGCATCACATTCCTTTTATTCTCTTTCCTGAAGTGAGTCCTACTTTTCACTGGAAGGAGTGGCAGGAAAAGTCAGTATCCCTCATCTGCTCCTGACATTTGTGTTAGCAACACTGAGTCTGTCACTCTCTCCTCTGGTAGGATCCTGTTGCCCCTTGCCTCCCTCAGCTTCTGCCTTTGTACTCACTACTGCTCCCTGCTCCCACTGCCTCTTAGAGCCCGTCACTCCCAGGTGGGGAACTCACCTTCTGAACTCAGTAAGAACATCTGGGAAGTCCTCTGTAGGAGTCTGAGTTCCTGAAAACCCCAGAAAATTATAGGAAATCCAAATCTGCTGATTCAGTGATAGAAGTGATAAGGAGAGACGTGTTTGTGATTTGATGATGTGGTGGCAGCCTCAGCCACTGGGGGACACTGGCACACCCTTTTGCTTATCCCAGCTCGAGGTGTTGGAAGCTCTTGGTGTTCGAACAGTGCTTTTTGCTATGCTGCTGTTCTTTGCAGAATGAGGGGAACAGAGGCTGGTTACTTTGTAGATTAAACCTCATGACAATTAAAAATGCTTCTACTGCAACTTCTTTGGGTTTTATGGCACTGATACCTGTTGGGCTGAGTTCACCAATTTGCTTTCTGCACCGGATGCTGAAATCTAATGGATCGTTTGAGATCTAATGGAGCTTTTCCTCCTGCATGGTTCCTGAGGGAACGCTTGTGCCTAGCTGCTGTGTCGTGATGCTTGAGTTGGGATGTGAGAATTAATGGATGTATTTGTTTATTCAGGGAGAAATAAAGCCAGCTCTGCTGTCAGTGGGACACAGATTGTGGCCGAAAGAAGCAGCCGGGAAGGATCTGCCCAGAGGATGCCCCGACAGCCGAGTGCAAGCAGGATGCAGAAGGCAGGAACCTCGGGGAAGAACAGCGGGGGAGGCAACAGTACCTAAATAAGGCCTTGGAACAGATAGATTTTGATTTGACAATGTATATAAACTGTGCTTGTTAAAGCTGCTTGTGTTGTATGTATTAAGGTATAAACATGATTTGTAATACGGGGAACAGTGCTGTTGGTTCCTATTTCCGAAACTTCCTTTGGCCACGTAAAGTATTCTTGCATTTGGCTTGCCCTGTTTTCCCCATGTGCCTGTTTATGACATTCTAGCAGCCATATCTGAAACCAGACTGATCTCTTCTAAGACATAAACCCATGTTCAGTACTCCCAGTGGTGCTGATGTGATTTACAAAGCGTTACAGCCCCTTTGCCTCAAGAGCCAGGTCAGATGAGGAGGTTGTRCCAGATAAGGGAGGGAACAGCTCCGTCGCTTAGGGCAAGAGACATACAAGGACTTAAACTAGGTAAGTGGGTTTCTTAGAGCTCAACTGCTACCATGCATCATTCCAGAGGGTCTGCAGGCAGTGAGGTGCCTCCCAATGGCTCTGGGAGCTCAGGGGCTGTTAATGAATTCCCTGTCCTTAATTCGGAGAAAGWGCCTCCATTCTATGGGAGGTAGGTGGTGATTCTTAAACTAAAGATCTGTCTCTCACAGGCCTGCTTCAGGTGCTAAATGAGATTTGCAAGGTCTGTAGCTTTTTCTCCTGCTCTGATCAGGTAGCAAATTGCAGCTGCTTCCCTTGGTAAAAGTGAGGAAATCAGAGGCCTGAGGATAGGCAGCCAGCCACAAGTTACGATCACAATGCGAGGCATCAGGAGAGCAGACTYTGGCCTCTCTGGGGATCTGCTTGATACAGTCTCATGCCATCAAGCCTTGGAGGAAAATGGCACCCAAGRAAGGAGGTTGATATTCTAGAATATTGATGCTCAAGGGTGGTCCAGCGTGACAACCCAGGGCTGCAGTCCCATGCCTGAGCTCCAACTACAACCCTGACATCCCTTGGAGCTATCCATGTCCCTGGCCCCTGTCACCCCCCACCCCATGTCCAACCCCTCTCATAATCTCAGCCTTGTTACCTCCAGTCTCTTCAGAGTTGGAGATGGGGTCTGCAGTGAGCTGGRGCTTGGCCTGGGTGCAGCACCTTGGGGCAGATAAGCAAAGCAAACTATTTAAAGCTGTGTCTAGAGATTTGTGATATCAAATGGAATTTGTACTACTTGAGTGACTTCAGAATTCTCAGTATTTTAGAAGGGTAACACAGAATGTGCAAACACACATCCAATAAATTAAGGGCTCTCAATCTCATGGAGTGACCTTGGGCAGCATCCTGATTCAAGGGGGAAGTCCCCAACACTCCTTCCTTGAGGGCACCTGACTTCACTGCCCTGTCTGCCCACCAGGACTCCATCTGTACCCCAGCTGAGTCTGATCTTTTGTCAGATGGTCACAATAAACCCTTGTGGCCGAGATCTGACCTTCATTCACCCCCTCCACAGCACCAGTAGGTGCAATGGTTAGTGCTGCACATCTGAATCCTGTCATGGAGGTCAGTCCCAGCTATGGAGAGCTGCTGAAGCTGTTGCCACAAGTGATCAGTGAAATCTTTCCTTAAACAGGAATGAACACCTGCAAATGGAGGAGTAGGGAAAGCAGGGGGAGGGCCCTGGAAGGTCTYGCAGTGGACCATCCACCAGGGCTGAATGGTGCAGGCAGGATCTCTTTTCCTACAAACTATTTCCCTGTATCATCATTGCCAAAAAAAGGGAAGACAGATCAGATGGGAAAAGAAACTTCGAAATCCGAGAAAAAGTGAGGTGGCCCGTACGGGGATCGAACCCGCGACCTTGGCGTTATTAGCACCACGCTCTAACCGACTGAGCTAACCGGCCGYGCTGCGTCCTCTGCGCCGCCAGCTGGTGGTCCGGTGGTGGCCTTCGAAAGAAAAAGAAAGAAA